TATCTACAGGTTTAATTACCTGTAGATATTAAAATCGTCGAGGATTATTTGCATGTGAAACGATAATTTTACGTCTTAAAAATCCGATCCGAAGTTTCAAAGATTCAATTATTGTTTGATGACCTTACTAATTGCAAAAGGGTTTTACTACCACAGTAGGCAACTTCTGTACATTACTTTTGACGCATTCTCGGTATCATAAGTATATCACCAAGCAGGCATTGGATCGGAATCTTCAACGAAAACCCAAGCGTGGTCGTTTGCTTAAGAGAGTGTTGTTAATATTTAACAGGCGAAGATTGTGCCACCTTTGTTAAAAATTGTTGTTTTGTTTTGAGACCTACTAGGTCTTAAAACATCAAGAAACTGTTCTTGAAACATCGATAGTTGAAACTGTAATTGAATTTTTAACCTCACAGTCTCATAATTTAGCGGATAATAACATTATTATAAGTTCCATAGTAATATGGAAATGTTGCTTTCATAAAGAACCGTTCAGAGTTGTTCACATCAGTATTATGATACTTTCTCTATTCATACACAGTCTCTTCACTTTCACGAAGACGCGGCTATTCATTAATGAGATATGAGATTGTTCGCAAACTTTGATAATCACATGTTTCTTCCCACAATGTTACAAAGGATTGTGCAAAACTGCGGAAATAAATGTGTTCTATCCACGCATTGTCGAAGCGTGTGTTCTAACAATTTTATTATTATTATGCATAATTTTTATAATATAATACCTCTCACGTTTAAGCTAATGTGTATCTATGTAAGATCTCTAATGTACTTAAAGCTTCACCGTATTTAAAAGTAAAAAAGAGACTGTCTTCATGTGAGATCACTTCGCTGGCCGTTGCACAGTTGTCCAATTTCAAAATAAAGCAAAACTTTGAATATAACTTTATTTTACAGAAAACCGCAGTAACGTTAAAACAGCAGACTTGAAAAAGGATTTATGTCAAGTAAAAACGGTTTTCATTCGTGTGGTGACAGATTAAGAATACGGAGTGTCGCATCCCCTATTCATCCCGTGGGTGTCGTATGAGCCGACTTAGGGAGCAAATTGCAGGACAACAGCACTGCAAAGAGAAGGAAAACTTGACACAAACTCTAATACCAACCCGTCTGGCCAGCGTGGTATAGTAGGCCAAAATCTCCTTTCGAGGGAGAGGCCGATGTCCAGCAGTGGACTATTAAAGGCTGTTGATGTGAAAACTGTTATCGGTTAGGTAGGTATATATTTTTTTTAAAGTATGTGTCTGCAGGTATATTTCTAATTTTAAGTTTGTTAATATTCACGGCAACGTGAACATGCTAAGTTGCGAATGTGTGAACTTTGCTAAGTTTTAATACTTAAATATGACCGCTTTCTGAGAAACTTTTAACTCGTGAAAAGTGCATATTTGAAGTCATAAGTCACTAGCAGGCCAGAAATGCAACAAAAAAAAAACGAAAACCAGAAAATAAATTCACTTGCACATTAGTATTTTGGCGGTATTGCCTTTATTGGCATTAATACTTTGTCACTGACGTTTGTTTAAAGATTGGCACTTTGTCTTTTTTCTGAATTCACGAAAAAAAGTGTGAACTTAAAAGTAATACAAATATTTTCATTTAGCAACTGTAAATTAAAATTATTTTTTGTTTTTTTGTATTGAAAAAAATAACAATATTTTTTCACTAATATTTTTTTTCTGTAATGCGGGCTCCAAAGTGAACTATTTGCTAATCACCCTTTGCTAATCAGCGTACGGAAGCCTCTCGGTGTTATTTAGATCATTCAAATAAATTGGTCTATTTGAAACAGTTCAATCTGCCAGAAATTATTTTTATACTTACTATTTATTCAGAAAACATTAGATTCACGAAAATAGCATGTACTGGATAACTATACAATCAATATTTCGGTAGGAACACTAGCGCCTCGTAAGAGTTTTATTTGGCACCTGATTTGAAGCCAGACTGTCTGCCTCATGAAGTGTACGATGAAGCATATGTTCAGCTCAATGAACTTTGTTCATTCAATACATCTCTCTGTATGAAACTAGTGGAAAGCGCGTTTCTAAAGAAAATTCATCATATTTTCATTCAACACATTTAATGTAGGTTAATTGGATAACACACGAACACTATCATAAACCAACAATGAGTTGTTTTTGCGTGCAAATGAAAAATACCTTAATACAAAGGAACATCTTTAACTTAAAAGAATATCACATACTTAAGATTACCTATATGTATATTCTAATTACCTATCTTGATTGCTATTTAATTAAATTATTATATTTTTAGAAACTTCGTAACTGTGACGTATTTGGTGGCATAGTAATTTCCTTAACCACGTCAGAATATTGATACTTATAGATAAACAATTCGTAAATAAAATCGTTTGTAATACTTGTGTGAAGATTGATAAAGCTATGAATCAATGAAACACCACTTTTAATAAGTCTCATAGACATGTGACACTCACATTATGACGTAAATTTTTACTTTAAATTTACATCAACGCAAAGTATAAATAGGAATGATGCCTTTTGTTATACTCGTAAGATCATGATGTTAAATGATGTAATGCCGTTGACTTACATTCAATTCAAATGTGTAACGTTTTGTATACAGCCTCTTTAGACACCGTCCAAGGATGCCAAAAAATAAGACAGACAACTCCTTAAAATTATAAATTTGTTTTTATAGCTCCTAGACTATTAACCTTCTTGGAGTTAATGAGGCATGACGTATTAAAATCAAATGTACCTATTGTTAGATGAAGATACATGATGATAAATATACCTAGATACACAGATGTATTGTATATTCCAAGGTACTAAATAACCTCCTTGCAACAGGAAAACTAGAAATACTCTGGCACACTCATTAATTAAGTAGTTTGATAGAGTACTCGTAAAAACGGCTTCGGGCACTTCTAACGCCGTATCTACTTCTTAAATAGTTACTGGCTACTCATGGTTTTGTTTGTGGCTTGTATTGTAAGTGTTTAGTAATACAATAAAATTAGTGTTATATTCAAATGAGTATATCGCGAATTAAATTGCATAGAAAACTTGTCTTATTAAATTACCTAATGTTTGAGTTATATAAAATGACTTTAACATTGTTTTATAAAAATATTTTAAAACACTGTTACAGTTCTAATTACAAAAATTAAGTTAATTTGTGTTTTGTTTGTTTATTAAATTTAAAATAATTAAATTAAATTTGTTTATTACATTGATTTATTTTTAAGTAGTATTTTATTAATAAAGAGTGACATGGAAAGGTTTAGTTACATTAGAAAAGCGTTTTATATGTATATGTAGAAGATAAATGGTTTATTTAAATTTAAAAAATATATTCGGAAAACACTTTTCCTGATGTAGACCCACACATTGTAATATTCTTACTAAATGACATACAATCAATTTTCATGTCAATTTCATGATCTTGTTTTTAAGCAGAAATTTTTAGAAAAATCCAGTATTTCATGAATGTACTTGGCATCGAAAATCCATACTTTAATTCATGCAAGCTACAGCTCGTGTGGTGACGGATTAAGAATTCAGAGTGTCAGAGCCGACGCACGAGGACTGCAAAGAGAATAAAGCTTGAAACAAACTCTTTACCTACCCATCTGGCAAGCATGGTATCGTAGGTCAAAACCTCCTTCCTCAGAGAGGCCTATGTCCAGCAGTAGACTAGTAAATATAGTATATAGTAAATAGTAAAGTAGTTGATGATGATGATAATGATGATGAACCCTCTTACTAAATAATATTTAATTAATCAACAATCTTTGCCTGCAGCTCCGTCTGCGTGTATGTCGGGTATGGCATTAAAACGTAGCCTATGTTAGTCGCTGATAATGTAGCATTCCATTGGTGAAAGAATTTATTTTTTAATATCGGTTTAGTGATTTGGGCGTGAAAGCTAAACAAATTCACTTTCATATTTATAAGTATGGAAGTATGGATATTTTATTGTCGCCTATTCCTCAAATATGACTGTCTATTACAATAGTATATTTTACATAGATTAAGAATATTTTCAAAATTGTCAACTCAATGTAATGGGGTAAAGGTAGCATTCGGTTTCTAGCGACCGCGACGCGCGACCGTGACGCGCGACGGGGTCTGGGACAGGGTCACTACTTTGTATGAATTTATATGGAGTGCATTCGGTTCCTCGCGACCGCGACGGTCGCTCCAGAGGCGGTGCAGTCGCGCGACGCAGGTGAAAAGCACGAAAAATTAATTGAATTGGTAAATAAAAAGTAACTCTCTTATTCTCGTGATGTGGTAATTGAGTTAATGTTCATTATTTTTCCCGGAGACATGGATAATAACATAATAAGATTATCATTCATTCTCGAACAGCTGCTAAATAGCTTTTTTCCTAGTTACGGCAAAATTTTCGTACATATTGCACTGCAAAAGGATGCAACGCGTTGCGGTCGCGCGTCGCGTCCCTGACAAAGGAAAGTTATGGGTCGCGGAACCGAATGCTACCTGTAGATGACTGTCAGATGAAATCGGCATCTTTTTATTAAACGTCACATGAATTAACTCGGAGCATTTTTGTATTAAATAGTAAGGCGTGACGTCATAGTCATGACCAGCTGTTGTCAAATCATTTACTTTTAATAAGTTTTAATGTCGACTTGAAGATATTTAAAATTAAAAACATTAAATTGGTAATCGAGGACGATTCATGCTGTACTTTAAGATCTTAATGATTCACGCAAAAAAAAAAATTATACATAGGAATCTACCGTAGTACCTTGCTAGTCGCGTCATAATGTATAACGTGAACATGACTATGTCAATATTAGCATGACTTATTTATGGTACCATGTGAAAGAGCACGCTACTTCATGGTGCAATTCGTTCTATTTATGCCATTAGCATTGGTTAGCAGCGGACCCGCCGCGGTGAAGGGAAACTGTAGGAGTTGCAAGCATGCTAGTTCCACTCCAGTTTTATAGCATATATGACGCGATGTCTCGTTGGGGCGACGAGAAAACATTGCGTTTCATACGTTTATACCGCGAACGCGAATGTTTATGGAATACTAGCTCACCAAATTATAAAAATAAACAAGCACGGGAACATGCCTACCGAAGTATATTGACGACATTCAATGATGTCAATTTAGACTTGAAAAGTGTAAAAACTAAAATTAAAAATCTAAGATCTGTTTATCATACTGAATTGAAGAAAGTAAAAGGAGATTTGTTATATGAATGTGAGGGGCCAGTTTATAAGCCTGGTTTATCGTGGTTCGATGAAATGCATGCCTTTCTCGAAGATCAGGGTGAGTCGGCGGGTGAGAGTATAACCATTGAAGTGGTAAGTGTTAAAATTTTCACAAACCGAAACTTTTTATAACTACGAATATAATGTATACATGATTATGTGTACATTTAAGCTGCATATCTCTGATTAACATTCTTAGAAATATAGGTATTACAGCCTGTAGTTTGGTAAGTAAACAATGCAGTTAAAAAATGAAAAAAGAACAGCTCTGTATTTCAACTAAACGCGCAATGAGCATCATTCCATAAGGTTTTAAAGGTAGATTACAGTTTTATTATATTATTTAAAATGAAACAACTATAGTATTGCATTAAATTACCGGAGGCACTCAGATCATCATCTAATAGCGAGATTGAACTTAAGCAAGACACAGTAACGACAACCGACAGACAAGCAGAACACATGACTTTTGAAGCAATACTGGACCCACACATAGACCATGGCATAACTTTAGATCCTTTAAAATACACCGACACAGATATAATTACAAACGAGACAACCAATCTGCAAACAAACTCTGTAACTCCTTCTTCCTCTAGTCACCAATCAATTCGAACACCAAGCATACGAACAGGCAACCGTAAGAAAAGGCAATACGACTCAGTCTTTAGTACTTTGCATCGATTAGAGAATATTGTATCAAATATAGTAAGTACTACGCAAGAACAGAACGTTCAAATACAAAGAGAAGATGAATTCCACATGTTTGCACTGAGTGTTGCTGCACAGTTGAGGCAGTTGCCGTTGCATGTTGCTATAGCAACGCAAAGCAAGATACAAAGTATACTATCAGAGGCTAGGATAACTTATATATTCTCGAATACTTCATCACCACCATCCGTGACGGTGAAGAAAGAAGATGCCTCTGAAAATTAGGATTTCTTCTTATCAAGGTTTTCTTTGGTTTTGTTTAAAATTGATTAATACTATTTTTTTATCATAGTAGACTCGTTATGCAATCAGCATTGGCAATAATGATTTTTGCGATTTGCTTTCATGATCCAAGTATCTTGGTTTTAAACTTTGATGGATTAACAAAAATACATTAAAGTTAATTTTGAAAACGTAACTGATTAAAAATAAACACTTTTTCATTTCATTAATTGTTTTATTCTGTCAGGATCCTTCCTACACGCGTAAAAATCTAAAATAACACGTCTTTCTGTGGGGAGGCATGACCTATAAACAGGTATGATTAAACCCTCGTCACACCTTTTGGTTTGCAGAATTTTATCCTGTCCAGGTATCTTTTTCTATGAAATAATTTATATCTTTTTTATTTTTAGCATGGGAATAAAATTCACTCCACTCAACATTCTATCTGTACACTGGGTGTGATGATGAGTTATGTCAAAGCAGTATAAGCTATAATACGGGTATACTCTGTTTTTCCATTACAAGTTTGTCTATAGCTGTAGTCCCTATATATAACCTAGGAAGGGAATGCCTGTGATGCAATTATTTTAATGATCTACTAACTTGATCACTATCTCAGTTAATACTGAGTAATGGAATCACACTGTTCAAAAAAAATGATTATTTATTATAGAAAGCTCTTATTTCCTACCAGCTTGAAAACACTGAAAAGCAGTCATCAGCCTAGTAACACAGGGTATTTAAATACACAGGAAATATTTCTCTTTTTAGTAGTGTAGGTACGTGGACATAAAACCAAAGCATTTTTTCATAAATTGCTTATATTTGTTGTTTTCCTGACTATTTAGGAGTTAACACCCACAACAGGCATGGGAAGTCTCTTTTATAACTGTATCCTTAATACTCACCTCTTTGTTGAATTTCATATATACGTAGGTACATTATTAGATAAGTAATATAAATATGTATTCATAAACTAATGAATTACATGTATACACAGTCCTCATAACGCATCCATTGGTCCATCCGTTTAACGCCATTGCACCGCTCCTAAGCCTCATAATATGACATGGGCCATCGCATCCAATTTACTTCTTAGCTTTTAGTAATACTTAGAAGATACTCTACATACATGTTAAAATTCAAACAATAACTAGCCATCTCCTATCTCCTAGCACTCCTCGTCAGCAGCCGCGGAAGACGTCTGTTTGAAAAAGAGGCAAAAGTATGCACCATTGGAGCAGCTTCACCACTTCGTTCCTGCGGCGGTGGAGACCATGGACAGCTGAGGTGCTAACACTAGGAAGTTTATTAAGGAACTAAGTCAAATACTCACAGAAGTCAATAGTGACTCTCTTCGGTCCGTTCGCGGTGCAAAGGTTGGCAATTGCCATTCAACGCGGCAATGCAAGTGTGATAGGCACATTTCCACCGGAGATGATTAGGGACGGGTTAATTTAATTTTTTGTGTAAATTTGCTAGTTCTTATGCCTGCGTCTGTAATATAGTTTTTGATATTGTGTTATTGATTTTGTGAGACTCTTTGATCTGAAAAGAATATAGACCTGTGAATCATGTATAATCATTTAAGTATTAAACAATAACTTGTAGAATAAAATCCATATAGGTATACTTGTCTTTTTAGAACTGAGCATATAATTCCATATCCTTATAAAAACCATCATTAAAATATAAAATAAAATGATTTCCGATAAATGGAAACTGGTAGTAGTATCTTATCATTATAGCAATGATTCTTGTGAATGATAAAATTAAATACTTAAGTGTTCGTAAACGCTACGCAATAGGTAATGCACACTAAATATTTATGATTCCGAGTATTTATTCAACATTATCTCTTCTGATATCCACAATCATTGGAATTACGCTCTAATCCTATTGTTTTAATTTCTAATTATTTATTAGGTACCGTAGTGTATAAATTTTTTAACATCGTAATCAGAAGCCCAAAGGCCCATACAACGCCAAAAGGCCAATTCTCATGTTAAAAGTTCGGTCAAAATTCAATTCTGATCAACTGTCGATCTTCAAATGTCATAAAAGATATTTGCGGTATTAAATATGCAACGTTGACTGTGATGTGATTATATCGTATTGTGATCGAAAATTAAATAGATAACCTGCTTCTTATTAATAATTGACTATTTCAGTACAAAAATACCTTTTATGACAGTTGCAAGATTGATAGTTAATCGAAACCGAATTTTTACCGAACTTTTATTACCTACGAGAATTGGCCTTCGGGATGTTAAAATGTAACTAAATTCTGATATCTGCAAATTAATCAAAATTTATTTAATTCTTAATGCTATTAAAAGAGCTTGAGGCAGGACCTCAAGCTCTTTTAATGCCTGCTGGAGCTAATACTGCACCACTCAATCCACCCGTATAAGCAAAAACCCTTCTTGTATTACCTTCCCTTCAAACTTTCATTGCCCTTTCAATATGACTCCAATTGACTGCACGGATGGCGTAGTGGTTTAAACGGTCACCTTGACGCTGTGGGTTCGACCCTCACATGGGACAACACTTTGTGTGATCCACTAATTGTTGATATGAGTCTAGGTGTTCTTTGTGTCCGTTTCACGAATTTTTGTAAAGTCCTGATGCAGAATATATGCGAGTGTGGGACTTGTTTTAAAAAAAAAGGAAACAATTATTCCGTAAGCAACTAGTTTTATTTGACTAGTGTTATAAGCCTAGTGTATGTATATCTAAGAGATAATAATAAGGTATCTATCTAGTTCCATCAGAGCTAATTATTGTAGTGGAGACAAAAATGTGTAACGCAAGAATAGGCCATATTCGTCGACAAACTATGCAAAGAAGCGCATAGAACCGATATGACCAAGCATTAAAGTATTTATTTTTATGTGGTAGGTATAGAGCAGCAAACGAGCAGAGGGGACCCCTAATAGTAAATGACTACCGTCGCACATAGACACCTAAAACTTAAGAGTGACAAGTCTCTATTAGACATGGTCATCTTACTTCATTTACTCCCTCTAAATAAGGTTGGGTTTATCAAGGACTAAAATCGAAATAAATTTACATCATAAATGTGCACAAAAAATAAATTGATTATAATAAAACAAAAGCCGTCACCAAAGACGTTACAATAGCGCGCGAACTGCCCGATTGTTTATTATTAACAGGCAATACAATTTATCACAAGACAATAGTAGCGCGCGCCTTGCATCCGTTTAGTCAAATCCATTCCGTTGGCGCTTTGAATTTAAAACGTAACGGACATGCGGAGGCCAAAGACACTGTTGACGTATTTCGGAAGTGCTCTCTGTCTATCTTATTGCTAAATTTACGTGTCGTTTGTTCTCGTCTCAGTCGATTTTTTGCTATAACTTTTTATAACCATTAAAAACAGACAGTTTGCTTCGCGGGAGTAGGTATGGGTCTTTATATATCTAAAAATATTGTTTACTAACGGCTGGCGAGCGCCAAAACAAGGTTAAATAATAATAAAGGTATGGCTTTGCTTTAATGCAAATATACCAACTCAGTTTTCCTGTAAAGTATAATTAAATTACATGTTAGTAACAAAACAGGTTTATTTTGAGTGTTGAAGTAAACTTTTAGTATATTATTTACTTATCATATAATTTCGTTTCGTTCAATCGGTGAAAGGAGGTTTAATTACAGTTATGAATGCACCTAGACAATTTCTAACAGTTGTCTTTGGTAATACAATAAACAACACTGATTTTTTCACGAACTTGCTGCTTTTTAAACCTCCCTTTTTATATTTGCTTACAAAAAGTTACACAATATTTACAATTCTATGTTATTCTGTGTATTCAATTCAATTTCATTTATTTAATCAGATAGTACAATCCATTAGCTTAGTCGGAAATATTACCAAGAGTAACAGTCGTGTAACCAATGTTTTTAATAGTTAAAACACTGACTCACAATTCGAAATTCGATCGTAATTACACTTTATGTTTCCTTGCTCGGATCTCCAAGCTCTGACTGATCGGGAAGTGACATCCGGTTTAACCCAAACCGGAAGATCGAGTGAATGGTACCTGTAATTTAAAAATGTTACTTTTACTCGATTACTTCCTGAATGCCAATACTCAACATTCTGTACGTATTTAACAAATAAAAAAAACGATCGCGCCTTACAGTAATCCCATTACAACTTATTTTGGCAACTACATTACGCATTACAACGATACTAGATGTCACCGCGAGCGCTCATTGGTCAAATCAAATATAATTTGGCCAGGATATGACGGGGAAGTGCGGTCATAATTTGTCTCTATGTAAAATACTTATGTTCCTTTCAACAAATCATTCCCAAGGATTGCATAAAAGATGTTACAAATCGATTTTAGATATCTTGACTTTAATATTTGTTATTACTTAATAATGTTTAGACATCATTGTAACTAATAAATGCAAATTAAATACACTTTTGTTTCGATTCGGCATAAAACTCCTAATTTGAAGATCGTAATTTTAAATAAATATATTAATAAAATATTTAGGTCACGAAAACTTTTAGTCTTGAATTTTGTAATTAAATTTCGAGGTCGTTGAACTCGGTCTTCTGTGCAATGTCTAATATGTTTTTCTTTCTTTGTATGCATTTGAGAACCGTAAGTTCCAAGAGCATGAACGTTAATTAGCAATACATACAATTTGCAACAAAATATTAACATAGACTAGAATAAAATGATAACGATCTTTTTGGTTGCAACACTTACAACGCAATTCAATTATAGAATAAACTCCTTATATAGTCATAAAGTGATTCTGTTCATTAATGCATTCTAAATGCATTTTCCGAGTTTGTTCTTTGTGTCCATTTACAAAGTCCCTAACGAGCGCAAATAGATAATAATATTTACCGGCTGTATAAGGAAGGAAAACTTGAAACAAACCCTATACCAACCCGTCTGGCCAGTGTGGTATACTCGTAGTAGGCCAAAACCTCTTTTTCTAAGGAGAGGCCTATG